ATACACCTTTCCTTTCCAACAAAATATGTGTTCAAACCACCATTTTAATAATATTTCTATGATTTGTGTAGCCACTGCATATATATGGGCAGTATTGACACTTTTTTAATATTCCATTTAAAAAAAAATAGCTTTTTGTTTTCTTAGTACATAAATGATTTTCGGTACATATATAGAGAAAAATGTCCTGACTCCTAATTTGTTCGCGATGAAATTTTTGGTTGATGCGCGCAAAGGTTATAGGGTTTTAATTATGGGCATAAGAAAACAAATCTTAAAATTACGCCGTTTTTTACAAAGGAAGTCAACTTTGTAAAATATGAATATGCAGATATTATAATAACCGCGAAAAAGTTTCTCATTTTCCCGTAATATGAGAAAAATAATACAAAATTGGGAGATTACGTCATTATTTTTATTATATTAATGACATGTATCCAATTAAAAATTAATTTAAAAATATCTACATTATCTAAACACCACGATAAATATAATAATATCAAAATCACATATGTAAATTACAGCGACAACAAAACAAGGCATCAAGGGAAATTTTTAGTTTTTGGTTCAATGAAATAATGTCATCATATTTATTTTTTTTAATTTTACGCGTTGATACCATCAGCTAGGTCTTCTGGCCGTTTACTGCCAGACCCACTTTGGCATCCTCCTTCTCAATCTGTTCAAATGTGGCTGTTACCACCGCTCTCAGTGTTCGACCCATTATGTCGATGTCATCGGCGTAGGCGAGTAACATGTGTTGTTTGGTGTACAGAGTGCCATTTCTGTTCACTTTTGCCTCTCGAATGACCTTTTCCAGTAGGATGTTAAAAAGGTCAGACGACAAACCGTCACCTTGTCTGAACCCTCGTTCGGTATTAAAGGGCTCCGAGAGGTCCTTTCCAACTTTAACTGCTGATCCAGTTAAAGTTATCCTGCATAGCCGAATTAATTTTGCAGGAATGCCAAACGCAATCATGGCTTTATACACCTCTGAACGGATAGGGCTGTCGAATGCACACAGGATGCTGAGGTTCCAATCATTGGGCATGCATTCTTCTAGCCAAATTGTACTAATCAGCTGGTGCATGCTCCTTACCAGCATCTGACCACCAGTCTTGAATAGTTCGGCTTGTAACCCATCGGCACCTGCTGCTTTATTATTCTTCAGCCGATTGATTGCTATTCTGACTTCATCTTGGCTAGGTGGTGTACACTCTATACCGTCATTTATTATTCATTGCTACTATTTGATACCAGATGTTTTTCAAAATGCTCCTTCCAGATCCTCAGCACGCTGTCTGTATCTGTCACCAGGTTTCCTTCTTTATATCTACAGGAGGATGTGCCTGCACCAAAGCCTTCAGTTTGTGGTCTTTCGTACCCAAGTGTTGCTTTTGCTGCAGTTTGTAGGGAGCAATTCTCTGCCATTGTGCTTCTATATTATTATCGGGACAAGTGCTTTCGTCAAGCAGTTGGGTAAGTTGAGCGGAGTAGGGTTCTGCTATCTGTTGTGTTTCCAGTTTTTCGACGTCAAATCTCCGTGTCACATTAGATCGCACCTTTGCTGCTACATTATATGCGTACCTTGGCTGCCACAAGGTAATGGTCCGAATCGATATTAGCTCTCCGGATCGATCGGACTTCTAGAACACTGGATGAATGCCTTCCGTCTATCACAACATGATCGATTTGATTACTCGTTGTGCAATCGGGAAATATCCAAGTGGTGCTGCTAACTACCACGTTTTTTGCTGCCGCGAAGTCAATCAACCTCATACCGTTGTCTGATGTTTTTTCATGAAGGCTGAATTTTCCGACGGTGGGGCCAAAGATATTTTCCCTTCCGATTTTTGCATTAAAATCTCCTAGCAGAATTTTAATGTCATGACCAGGGCAACGATCATATGCTGTTTCTAGACGCTCGTAAAATATGTCTTTGGTCTGTTCATCTTTATCTTCGGTCGGAGCATGGGCGCAAATGAGAGTGATGTAGAAGAACTTCGCTTTTATACGGACTATAGCAATTCGCTCACCTGCTGGAGTGAATCTGGAGACGAGGTCTTTTATTCTCCTCTTAACCATAAATCCGCAGCCAAATTCATGTCTCGTTTCATGGCAGCTATAATACAGGGCGTAATCATCTGATTTACTTTCGCCAGTCCCTATCCATCGCATTTCCTGTAAGGCAATAATATCTGTTTTGTACTTTTTGAGTACATCCGCCAAAGCGAACACTACGCCTGAACTGTACAACGTGCGCACATTCCAAGTGCAGATACGCAGATCGTGGTCCTTTATACGTTTGCGGGGGTCGTCAACATTAGGGAGGTTTGGTTTTCTTTTTCTTAGCTTTTTCAAAGTAAGTTGGGTTTTCCGAAAGTGGGCAACTAACACGACGCCTCAACCCATTTTTTTATAGTTCTTATGGGTGAACTCGCGGCACATTTTAGCTCACTATTTCATTGGGTGATGAAAATAGCTCCCCAGGTGGCACCGAGGGGAGGTCAGTGTCCACAATTGAGATGAAAGAGGGACCAAGATAAGCCTCGACTTCGCCATGTTAAAGCCAACCAGAGCCGTTGCTTGGTATCTATCATCCCCTACGCCAAGATCGGACCAATATTTGATATACCTCCCATACCATACAAAGGATCCTGAATAAGTAATTATATTCCTGAATATGCAACTATTCTATACCATAAAATCACTATTTACCACTATATTTGTATTGTTAGTTTTATTAATAACGAAATATTTCATATACTTTAGTTACTACACACATTATTGATTTATCATTTTCAGAACATACATCAGGAATAAATTAAATATTGTCTTCCCAAATGTACGATATCGTATCATCCATGTTATAATTTTGGGCCTTTATTGTATGGCTGTTTAAGGATATAACATGGTCGGATTGTTATATAAAATACTGAATAAAATCCTTATTCCAAATATTCGGGTTGCTCCTAATTATTTTGTGGCATGACTTGATAGAGTCTTGTGAATGTCACTCCAAACGTAAAGTGCTGTACTATACATCTCCAATGCCATGTACGAAAAAACTTCTGTATGAACATTCCATAAAGGTAATCCAAGTGCGTTGCCAAAATTTAGACTTTTTCCTTTTTAATTTTCCTAAAGAAGGACTAAATAATGCGTCAAATTAGTATAATATTCAAGATGACCAAATCAAATTCAAAAGTAACCATGAAAAAGCAAAATTTTAATACTAATTCGACTATATCTCCGCTTCCGATAACATTCTTTTACAATTAATTGCAAATTTTATGTAAAATATTGTATGATTACTATGTTCTGAATCAGTCCTTCCATTTCCCATTTAACCCTCAATAATTTGTTTAATGGTATGCATAACATCCATAACTTCTAACTATTTCTTGAATATGTTATATTTTTAACAAATTGTATGAACTAAACTCCATATTGTCTCTATTTACATAAAAGCAACAGTGAATCCTGGTTTCTAGCATCCCAAGCAACCAAAATATTATTCTACTTTGGAGTGTTTTCTATAAACTCCCATCAATAAATTTGTCCTCCGAGGAAGTTGGTTTTGACCATTTTGGGCCGCGGTCGTGACACTGTGCGGTCCATTAAGAACCATGGATGACCCAGCTCACACTACTTTTGAGATAAATTGGGTACATCTCTCTTTCGGCTGAAGTTTTTAATGTTCTGTTTTCGCAAAAGGTAATTTACTGAAACGGAAATGATGCACAAAAAACGGAAATAAATCCCCGATATATTCAAAAACATTTTTTCCCAAATTTCGTGTTTTTGGATGCCCAGTTCCCGCCGTTCTTGTAGATGGATTTTCACGAAGGATATCTTATTCGCGACTACAATAATCTTGTAATCGATTTTTAGAAATTCCTGTTTCCGCATTAAAACTATAAGTAAAATTCAAAAAATAGTCAAAATCGAGCTTCAAAATGTCAGCATCATTTAAAGGTAGATGCAGATAAAAATTTGAAAAATGATACATAAGAGACGAAGTTCTCATTTTATAGGCTTCTAGTTTTACGTTGACATGAAGACCGTGAAATGAGTGGCTTAGTCACAAATCGATAGAAAAAATTGGTTCGCCTTAACCTGTTTTAACCATTTTTTTACATTAAAATAGAAACAGCTTACACCCACTTTCACTTTTTTCATATGCGTATGCAATTCCCGAGTTATAAAGGGGTGAACCTCGGATTCAGCTATATTAAAGAAATTGCCAATTCTTTAATATAGCCCATATATATATATATATTAAACGTTGACATTAATTTTTAAACCCTCGCCTAAAAAGTCACTTTCGCCTCACTTCTTTTCTCGTTTTGGAGTTACTTCTTAATGACGTCTAGGAAGACAAAAGAAAATTGATCAAATGTTACAAAAACAATTTGTAGTCTTTGAAAATTGTCTCTCATATGCTTCTAAAAATAATTAGAAGAGAAAACATATAAATCAAGTTAGTTAATGTAAGATTTTCAAAGAGATCTGTATGTGTCCCAAGAAATAGTTTACATTTGTTCAATAGTGTGATATTTATATAAATAAAAAAGATGTATCGTGATTCTTACATTGTTGTATTTTATAATGTTTTAAACGTGTATAACATAAAAAATATTTTCTAATTGTGAATATTTTATATCAAATGGTCTGTTCCAGTACTTTTTTAATAGTAAATCTAGTAAAAGGGAAACATTTCAAAATTGCTCTCAGAGTACAAAATAATTTGAAAAGTTCATGAACAGCTGAATTTTTTTGTGCGCTCTTCAGACGTTTATTGAATTTTTTAAAATAATACAGTAAATAATAATTTAAATAAAAAATCAAATTAAAGTTGTTTTTCGAGATAAATTTTCTTTTTGGAGTAGTTCACATTGAAGTCGCTGTTCACCCTGTTGTTTTTGACCTGTGCGGCGCCTCCACTTGTGTTTATAAAACAATAATAAATTATACGTTTGGATATTATTGTTGTCATTATGGCACCCAGCAATGTGCAATATAAATGCGGTTTGTGCAACTAAAATTGTACTAAAACACAGTACAGTGTAGGGATAAGTAAATCGACTTTCGACTAATCGAATTATCGACATTTACTCTCGACTACGTATCTCTAGTACAGTGTATGTTGTCTACAATGCTCGGTTCATTTTCAGGCCACAAAATGCCTGAAACTCGATCAAGGTAACTTCAAAAGAAAGGTTGTTGATTTTACTTGTCCGTTGTGTACCATTGGAAATGTGGAAAGTAGCAATATTAAGCTGAGTAGTGATTCTAGTTCGGAAGTTGAAAGTATTGACACTAGCTTTCGTGAATTTGGCGAATCTCTTAAAAAACAGATACAACTGCAGAAACAGGAACTTGATGAGCAGTGGCAAAAGACAACTGATATATTCAAAAAAAAAACAATTAATGAGTGGGTAGAAAAGCTAAGGATGGAATTTAAGACACAATTTGAGGCGTTAAGAGAAGATCTCAATAAGTTTAATTCTTATATTTCGAAATTGGAGTCAGAAATGGATATTCAAATGCAAACGTATACAAGGCTAAATGCTGATATAATGTCACATACTTCCAATGTCACAAAATCTGAGTCACTCATTTTTGGTCAGTTACAAACTATTAATAGAGAGAAAAATATCCTACGTAGACGTCTTAATCGCGCCAATATAGTGATTAATGGCATACCAAAGGGAATTTTGGATATAAGTGAGCCTGGGATAACAATTGTGAGCATATGTGGAATATCGTTAATGCCATCAGATTTACAACACTGCTGCTATTTTGCCGGGGGCAAATCCATTCTTGTGAAACTCAATTCGATCCGTATTAGAGGCCAAATTATGGCGAATTATCATCGGAAACCGCCTATACGGATCCGAGATGTATTTGGAGGAGATGGTGAGTCTAAAATTTATCTGAACGAACACCTTACTCCGGATGCTATGAAGCTGGTATATGAATGTCCTATGTTGAGGAATAAAGGACTTATTGAGAAGTACGCTCTTGTACACGGTGATACACCAAGAGCAAAGATTGCCTTTCCCATTGGTGAATCTAAATTAGTAGGCCCCCAGAGAACAATATCCATTTTTGAAATCTTGAACATATACTTTATATTAAAATTATTGTTTTATATAGTTACAATTGTAATATACAATTTTGTCACGCTTAAGCTATATTTTCATGGTTTATTTGAGTTTGTGATAAATTTAACATGATAGGAATGTTAGCGGGATAAAATTGTATAAAGTAAGTGTAGCTTTTTTACTCTGTAGGTTATTTTCATTATTATTTTATTATTTCACTTTAATTGCTGATATTTATTTAATTTTCGAATTCAAGTGATTTGTTAATATTATGAACAACTTATGGGGACTTCGAATCCTTCAAAGAAGAAGTCTCTGAACTTTTGCTACGATATTCTAATATAGTGATTAGTGATATTCAAATATAGTGATTTTATATTCCAACCGCATCTTCCGTAAGATCTGCTTGTGATAGATTGAATTTATCAATTCATCACAATCCTTTACCGACACACTTCGATGTTACCCACCAATCGACTTCTCTTTTAGAATTTTTTCTTTTGTCTTTCCCCGAAAATATTGTTTTCTCGAATCAATATATATGTCCTATATCGAAACACGTTCTAATTTGCCTGTCCATTCGTTCATTACATTCGCGTGTGAATGATTACTATGAATTTGTTGATTATGACAGTATCTCTCAGGATGCATTGCTCGCGAAGATACATTCGTTTGATTTTTCAAATATTTTTCGTTTGTATGATGTTGACAATCAGTTAAATACTTTTATGGCAGGACTGGAATATATTCACTCGGTCTGTCCTATAAAAAGAAGGAAGTTTAAACAAAATGATGCCGAATGGATGAACGCGCCTGTGATTAAGTACCACAGTCCCTTAAGGGATTTGGCATTCAGAGATTATTTATCTGATAAAACTAGCCACAAGTGGAAAATATACTGTAGGGCAAGGAATAAAGCCAAAACGGTTATAAGGAAAGAGAAGAGGCAAGTACATGCGATATACTTGTCGAAGGATTTAAATTCAAAAACCTTATGGAATAGAATAGGTAATAACGGTCTGCTTGCAAACAGTCCAGATATATGTAAAAGCTTAAATATAGGGGTCGACGAATTAAATCAACATTTCATTAATAATCAGTCCGATGCTCCGATGATTAAGCCTACATCTCGATATTTTTCGTCAGTGGATGAGGGGAGATTTGGCTTTCGTACTATTAATTTAGATAAATTAAACATAGCCTTTTGTAATATAAAATCCAACGCACCAGGTATTGATGGTTTTTCTTTGAAATTCCTCAAACTGGTTCTACCTCATCTAGAAACTATTTTCCTTCATATTGTAAATACTATAATAATGACTTCGACCTTCCCATCGCAGTGGAAAATTGCAAAGATAACTCCTATAAGGAAGAAAACTAACTGTGTTGCTATTGAAAATGTAAGTCCTATTTCTGTCCTCCCTATTCTTGCCAAGTTCGTAGAGCACGTTTTAAAAAAACAGTTGCTGGGTTACATCGAAACTAATAATCTGTTAAGCGATTATAACTATGGTTTTCGTGCTAAAAGGAGTACAACGAGTGTTCTGCTAGGACTGACGGACTCCACTTTTAATTTCCATGGACCTTGAGAAAGCGTTTGATAGAGTGGATCATTTAAAGTTATTGAATAAGCTTAGTGATATATCACTTTCAAGACTCAGCATGTCATTTGGTCTCTTCTTATTTGTTGCATAGGAAGCAATGTGTTAGTGTTGGTGGATCAACTTCTAATATATTGAATGTTAAGAGTGGAATACCCCAAGGTTCTGTACTTGGGCCGCTACTTTTTACGATGTTTATTAACGATTTGACTTCAAGTATAGGTGACTTTTGTTGAGCATATCTGTTTGTGGATGACGTTCAGCTGTTATTTACGGTTCAAATGTCTAATATGGATGTTTTGCAATCTAAAATTGATTATACACTTTCTTTAGTGAGTAGTTGGGTGACTCAATATAAGTTGGGCATAAATACGTCGAAAACTAAGTCTCTGCTATTTTCCTCTCATTCTAATGACCTGAATGTTAAATACGAAGGGGTCGAAATACAAATTGTTGGCGTTTTAGAAATTCTTGGTGTACTTATTGATCATAAGCTGTCATTTACATCGCATATCGATAGAGTGGTTTCTCGGGCTAACATTGCATTACGAAGGCTTTATAGCTGCGACCTAGTCCTTCTTCAGCATATAAAGGGAAAAATGGTTCATGCGCTTGTTCTACCAAACATTCTGTATTGTTTGGAAGTTTACTCCGTAGCTAACATGCATAATATGAGGAAGGTACATAGTGCAGTGAGATATGCATATTCTGTTAGGATCTTTTCCCATATTTCTTCCTTTGTAGAACCTTTTATTGACTGTCCCTTTAACAGATTCGTTGATATTCGATGTCTAATATTAATTTATAAAGTATATAAATCGCAATGTCCTCTATTTTTGGCAATTGCAGTTAATTTTTCGCGCTTTTTTAGGAATACGAATTTAATTATACCCCGTTTAGATCTTCAAATGGACAAGTCATTCCTTGTCCGAGTTTCTCGTTTATTCAATACACTCCCTAATCAACTTAAATTTTTTAATATAACGCCTGCGTTGTTTCGGTTTAAGCTGCTTTCTGAATTTCGGTTGACTAATGTTTAGCGATATCCCAATATAATAAAATCTCGTTTGAGTAGTCGCTACGGTAATCATATATTTAATAAAACCGGAATATGTTACAATTTATTTTTATTTTAGAGTTCTACAGTTTCTTAAATTTGGTGTTTTTTGAGTTGTTCTCTCCGAAGAAGTTCATAAAAAGTACATATTCATATTATGTTTAAATTAGATTTTAACAGCCTCTTAAAGGAGGTATTTTCTGAGTAGTTCTCTCCTGAGGAGTACGTAAAATGTAAATATTTTTATAATATGTTTAGCTATAATTTTTTTCATACGTTTAATTTAGTTCAATTAAATTTAATTTATTTGCATATAATTTGTCATTGGAGCATATTGTAATAGATATTGGTCGAATGGCTTTGCAATACAAAAAAAAAGAACAAATAAAACCAGTGAGCGGAGCAGTATAGTCGTACGGGGCCGACCATACGATACCCTACACAACTACCACGAACTCTAACTTTCTGAGGATGTTTATTCCGAGTCTGAGTAATATTTCGTGATATTTGCCCCCTCTTGTCCGATTAAAGGTTAACAACACCTCTTCCTTACTTTTTTCGAATATTCAGTACAGTCCTTCTAATTACTTGTCCAGATTACCTTCCCGGTGGGTGTGTTGTGATTTTCGGATTATACTCTACTCGAAAACACACAAAAAATTATGTTTTCGGTCCATTTCATCCCAAAATTTTAATCTGATCATCACCGAAAATTGTAGGCGTTGTTCTTGACCATAACTGGAACTTCATGAAAAATTTCAAAGCCATCAGCGCGATATTTCTCCCTCTAATGTGGTAATGGGTTACTAAATAATATCTGATTACATAAGCACCTGTAAATATTTGACTGTAACTCCCACATCTGAGTAGATACATCACTATATTTGGTATCAATTTAAAGGCCAACCACTCCTCTTGGATATGCTATCAACTCCAGGGGTTTACATCCTCCAGGAGTAATATATATATATGCCATAGAATACAAATTTTCTCATTTTTCACACAAAAGTCAGGGTCCATTTGACCCGCTAAATATTGACCAATCTTTATCAAAACATGCATGCTTATTCTCTGGCCCGATCCCCTTCTCCATGCAAAAATTCGCGGTGTTTGGGCCATAATTGAGTCCTCTGGAGCGACCAGAAAAACCGACAAAAATTTAGTATTTGGTCCATTTCATCCCCTAAATATTAACCGATCTTTTCCAAAAACAATAGGGGTCTTCATTGGCCAGAACCCATCCTACATGCAAAATTTCGTGAAGATTGGTCCATAACTGTGGCCTGTATCGTGTTTACAAATTATAATGGACAGACGGACGGACGGACACACATGTCTAGATCGACTCAGCTAGTCGAGATATGACGATCGGTATACTTAAAGGTGGGTCTAGGACCAATATTTCGCGGCGTTACAAACATTCGGGGCTGCACAAAGCTATAATACCCTGACAACATAGTTGTGTATGGTATAAAAATCTAGTAAATATGCCAAAACTAGATGGAATTACTTCAAAATCAACATAACAGCCAACCAGAAGTAGGCATTCCTGTTTACCATTTTTACTCGACCATATTTCTCGAGTAAAAAGTTTACATAGAGAACGCCATTTTGTTTTGTGCTCTCTTAAATTTGAGTCAATGTTTTACCAGTTTTGTATAATAAAATATTAAAAATAATTTGAGTACTAGAAGCAACGGGGAAGTGAAAAAAAAGTGACGCCTAAGCGTTAGACACAGTTGCAGAAGATAATCGAATTCTTATCGCGGAAAGAAATGAACCAATGATGGCACCACTGATTTTTTTCCTAATGGTTATCATATATATGTTTGTATAGAATTGTTAATCGTTACATTACAATTAACATCTAGTACAAACCGTTCGATGATCTTCCACCATAAGGAGGATATAAGAAAATTTTAAGAAATATTGCTGCCTGGGATCTTTCAAAACAGGACTTTTCAATAAAGTGAGAAATATTCTCAACTTCGTCTAAATTACAGCGTGCAGAGGCCCACTGAATACGATTTAAAACATTGATAGTTCAGGTCTAGCAATCTACCTCTAGCTTTGATGAGGATTAAAGATTGTGATTCATTAAAGTACGATAATTGTGAATTGACTCTGGTGGCCAAAACTATAGTAACTAAAATTGAAAAGTTATTAAATGTCGTATAACTTTTTCAAAAATAAACATATCGTGTTGGTTTCTTCAGTGTTAAATCGGATACTTTATTTTTTTTAAAAAAGAACTTAAATGCAAAATTTGTTTTGAAATAAATAATAAAAAAACAAATCTACTGTACAAACAGATGCGCTCTGAAATTTTAATTATTTTTAATTACTATGTTTTGGCTAGAAAAAAAAATACAGTACACCTATAAAACCACAGTGATTTCGAAAACAATTCAGTGATTTTGAAAACAATTTATCACAGAAATGGATTTCGAAGAAATATTCCATACATAAATCCGTGATTTCTCGAATTATAAGTTGGTTTCAAGCAACTATATCAGTAGTGAAAGCAATCAGTTCGTACTGATCAACAAATCGGATCGGATTTATGCAAATGTGTTGAAAACTATATGGTTTCCTTCGCTGACGAAAATATATTGCTTGTGTGGGTGCTTCAGCTTGACGATATGCTCAAAAAAATCAAGTCAAGCATAAGATCTTCACCCTATAAAAAATCTTTGGAGCATCATAGATAGCAAAATCAAAAGGGATTCACAAACAAACGTAACCCCTCCCCATAGATTCAGAATGCAAGGAATAGTATATCCAAGGATCAAATTGAGAATTTCATTGATTCAATGTCTCATAGGTGGTTAATTTAAAAAAAAAGTTACAGGTCATTTATTCAGTTTGCAATTTCAGTAGCTTTCATATGAAACTGAAATTAACTATATGGTAATTTGTTATAATCTTTGTATTTAAAGTTAAAAAATATGTTAACTTTCAATTCAGGTTCAATTGAAACTGTAATTGAATTTTCTCCAGAAATTTATGGTATTTTTCTGTAAAATTCATTGATAAAATCGATAACACGATAATTCCTGGGCCAAAATATATGCAACTCTGACGAATTAAAAAATCATCATAGTTAATATTTTATTCGCAAAATTTAAGTATAGGTATCACAAAGAGATTCAATATCACATATAGTGTAAAAACGCAGAAAACACGACATTGAAAGCACCTAAAAGCAGTGTGAACATACAAATTATGTGCGAATTTTGAATAAGGTTTAGTAAAAAAGGATGTGTATCTCTTCTATATATATATATAAAAATTACGTGTATGTTCGTGATCGCTAAAGTCAAAAAAATATCCAAGACATATTATCTAATTTGAAGGTTTTACCAAAACCTCCATCCGATGTTACCTATTCGTATTGAACATATCAACTACCGATAACACTCAGGTTGGAAAACGGGAGTAAGAACTTCAACATACCGAAAATTGAACGGGAAATAATTATGGCGTATTTCTAAAACGTTAATCAATAGTGCATAATTTCTGGGATGCTGTTTTTTATTCACAGGAATCCGTTATCCCTATTATAGCCAACTCTATGAGAAAATTCGGTCAATGTCTTTACAGAACCGAAAATGTTTTATTATATTCAGACATACAATGGGAATGGGGATTAATTAATTGTTGGTATGAAGATTTGACACCACATGAGAAAATATGGGGGAAACTTGAATCAATATTGATAATTTTTTGTAAGTCGATTTTGTACTCACTGATCATCTAAAATATAAAATTACAGCCAATTTTTTCTAACACGTGACAAAACCCCCCAAAATACAGAAGAATGAACTGATATTGACAACTTTAGTAGGATTCATGCTACCAAATAAAACAACCAATTGCAGCTGATTAGGTGGAAAAACGTGTCCAAATCTCCAAAGGATCGTATAATGTGGAGTGCCATTATATGGAGGTTTTTCGGAAGCTTGGCCAAATTTTGTTAGGAACATTTTCTACTCGATGATCATCCAAAATATAAATATTGATAATATTTGGTACGGACACTTTCTGCTCAATTACAACCAATTCTGTTGAAAAAATCGCTACAATTTCTCATATTGCGAGGTACCGTTATATGGAGATACCCTTAATATTGGGCTATCTTGAATTATATTTGTGAATTATACATCAACAATAATGATATGCAAGACAACGTTTGCCGGGCCCGCTAGTTTTATATAAAAATAAGACCAACTATTAATAATTAATTATATGAGGACTATTTCAAAATATTCACATTGACAATTTCCAACAAAGAGATTTGTTACCCAGCAAATCTCTTTGCAAATTGCATTCCCCTTCGATAGGAAATGCTGCTAAAACTTTCAAAATACTGAAAATGGCGACATTTTTACATGGGAATTATATATCAAAACAAGCACAGGAAGTATTAGGGTACCTCTGTTTGGAAGATGTTTCCCTAATGGATACTAATGTGTATTTTATACTAATTTGTTAATCGTTTCATTACAGATTTTTACATTCTATTTATTGTTAGCATAATGTACTAACATTCTAACAATCAACAAGTACAACCCGTTCAATCTCAATTTTACAATATTTTTTACACATTCACAGACGCAAATGCATTCACATCATTATGCTTTAGCATAACAATTAATGCTATAGAATTCACGTCCGCGGATTATTTAATAAAAATTATTGATTCAAATAGTATTTATTTATGAATGCCGAGACAAATTTTGTCCTAAAAAATTTGACGTCCTACATTTTGAATATGATGCAATCGCATCATTATTTAATCACATCTGTATCTTTCGAACAATACAAAACGTCATATAAATAAAAAATCACTGCATATGTGTATTTTTAGATTCCAAGCCCAAAGTCCGCAGAGTTGAACGAGTTCTTTCAGTACTCCCTCCGAAATGCTCTAAGGATGACGTACTACGCTCACAAACATATCAACAATTTATGCGTAATATGGATCACATAATAGAATTACTTGATGATACTGAATCTCCTAACTTTGAATCAGGTAAAATGTATATTAGTCTATTTAAATGTTATTTCGAGTAAATTTTGTTTTTTTTTTTTGTTTTGTTTACAGATGATGTTGACGAAAATATCGAATGTATTTCGTCCAAGATGTTAAATGCAATGAGCAACGATGTGGCAAAACTTAAAGCAAAAAATGTTTTGGATTTAATTCCAAAAAATAAATTAACATTATTAATAAATTATGCCATGCGTAATGTGTATTTAGCAAAAAACTATTCATGTGGACCAGTATGTATTATAATAATTATTATTACCATTTGAGCAAATATTTACTAATTAACATATTTTTAGGATGATGATGATGAAATTGTAGATGAAGAAGTAATGGAAAAGATATTAAATGCAATTGAGGCTAGCCTTCTTGTGTGTAACATATATTCTACAGTGAGCGATTTAAAATTTTTGCAAGAAGATAACATCGCCCTAATAATAAAATTTATACAGTTTCAACTAAGAGAAACTATATTTCCATCATATGATTCAGTATATACTGTCAAAAGTGTGAAAAAAAATGACAATAGAAAAAAGTCTAAATATCATCACAATCACAACAGGAACTTGCAACTTTTGTATTCTAAAGTAGTTGAGTTAATGAAAGTGTTTGTAATGCTATTTGACAAGTGCATTTTTGTTGATACCATTGTCTTACCACTATCTGCTTTATCCATTGAACCCTTTTTCGTCGATAATATAGAAACACTACAATTTGTTTGTCTGGAGTTAGTTACAACAGTAAGTACAGCCTATTAAAACAAATTTTCAAGCTAAATCATAATTTATAAATGCATACATGTTTTAAACGTTAGAAATATTCGTCTTATCATCATCAAGTGTGCTTTATAAGTAGCGGGTAAAGAGGATCATACACCTTTTAAATTATAATTTTAGTGGTTATAATAACGGGTCTTAACCAACCCACCGGGTAAAAAAGGAAGCATTAAATCGATAATCTCTTAAAGTTATATCTACAACGAATGCGGCTCGCAAAGGTAGTGTCACAATATATCTATCGTCATCGCCTCAACGTGCAATGTTTACATAATTTATCTCTAAACGAGGATTATCAACTGACTTTCAAAGCGTTCCACGCCAGAACAAAACTGCGCTTCGTTAAGGGGAATTAGGAAGAATTGGCCACGGAAGAAAATACCCTCGAAGACATCCGTAGACGAGGCAACGCTAGATTATGAACTATATCTGAATTCGGAGGATCAACGATAAAACTCGAACTATCTCTACGATTCCCAATACCTACTAGTATGAGTATATGAGTTAGGTTAGGTTAGGTTAGGTTTGGGATGTACGGCTGTTGTAACAACCGTCCACTCGGAAACTATGTCCATTGTGATCATCCTTTATGTATAGGTGTACCTATAAAGAGAAGAAGAAAAGATAGTGGAAGAGTAGAGAGAGAGGTAGTCAGAATAGGAGGGAGCGGAAGCGGAAGAGACATTATTTTAGCCAAGTCAATTTTTTGACAAAGCCTAGAATTAGGTTAGGGTCTATTTTGGAGAAGAAGACTAGATTATCAATTTCATAACATCCAAACTGTTTATGTCTTCTGCTGATCAGCGATGGACATTTGCAAAGGATGTGCTCAATTGTTTCCACTTCTTCTTCATCCTCACATAGACGACAGTAATCCTCTCCACTGGAGTCCCACTTAGAAGTGAGAGATCTAACTTTGCAGTGACCAGTAATGATCCCCACAACGATCTTAATCTCCCTCTTGTTGTGATCCAGCAGCGAAGACGTTCTTTTATGAGAGAATTCTGGCCAGATAGATTTAGAGATTCTGCATGCAGGTTCCCTTAGCCATCTGTTGCCGACTACCTCGCAATAGAACGCGCGGATTCTGCCAATGAAATAGCTAATAGGGGGTTTCACAGATCTCTCAATCAGAAGACTGGACGACTGTGACCCCCCTCGAGCAAGCTCGTCGGCTATCTCATTCCCTTCAATATCGTTATGTCCTGGAACCCAGCATAACCCAACTATTTGACGTATATCATTCAGAGCGGTCTTACAATCATGAACTGCTTTCGAGTTTATAGTATGCGACTTCACCGCTTTCAGGGCCGCCTGACTATCTACGTAAATAGTCACCGGTCCTGTAAAGTCTGTATTAAGTGCTTTTACTATCTCGGCCGCTTTCGTGATTGCAAGAATCTCTGCTTGAAAAACGCTACAATCATTGTTGAGTTTATATGAGTTTCGTATACCTAATTCCCTGCAGTAGACGCCTGCGCCAGTGCCTTCTTCCATCTTGGACCCGTCTGTGAAGATTGACAGACCTGGCAGAGGTAGGGAGCCACTAGTCCAGGATTCCCTGTTAGGAAATTCGACTTTAATGTCATTAAATCCCTGTGGGGAGGAATATAATCACTGATATGACTATCCCCCCTAAAAGGTCATAACTTGGCGTTATGTTTAGAATGCTGGCATGACCATAGTTCAGCGATTTCAAGGCATCTGTTTCCCGGAGTCTCAGGGCACACCTAGCAGCCTGGAATTTGATCAGAATGTCGTTTTATTTAAATCGTTATCGCTAACCTGTACTTGATTGTGTGGTGCAGACTGTGTCTGGACTTCTTGAGCAATATCAGGCGGATCCAGATTTACCTGAACGTTAGATTGTCGAAGTTTAGGCGACACCCTTTTTATCATTGTTAGACAATCCATATACACATCATAAACGACCGCATGCTTCGATTGTACGGACTGACACAATTCTTAATAGAAAATATATTTTATTCAAAATAATTTTCCACCCTTTGCAAATATTTTGCTTAATTCAAAACTTCTAACTTGTATTAAAATCTACATAACATTGATTTTTCTCTAAAATCGCACACACACGATGAAATATTAAAGACAAGATTGGTCAAGATAAAAAACTTTATTTCGAGTAAAATATTCAGAAATAAAGTTTAGTACTATTCAATTACAAAAAAAAGTATTATTGTGTTTCAAACACGCCAAAATCGACCGACCCCATTAGGATAGAGCACATGCAAAAAAAAAAAAAAAAAAAAAAACAAGCGACGGTTGCCTATTACGATATTCTTTATGTTTGTTAATGCAGTAAACAGACAACCGACCGTACGACGTAAATATGTCCCTAGCGTATGTACGTGTATATAATTGAAACGGATATATGTGAACATTAAATGTATACATATTATGCATTTTGGTTAATTCAAAATGCCAAAATACAGAGCATTTGTTTCAATATCAGAGTTTTTCAATAATGCGAAATCTGGATAATTGAAGTATGTTTCATTTAAGCAGACACGAGAGCAGCTGCAATAAAATTCAACAAAATCAACCTCCCTTCACGCCTTAAAATTGGATACATCTTTTGATTTACTGTCCATGAATATATTCCAAATCTGCTAAAATACAAACATTATCTAAAACTAGGTAATACATTCAAATACTGTAAAATAAATTGTCTATGTGTTTTTCCTCCACCACCCGACATTCGTAACTGGAAGTTGATACACAACTAAAGTCCCAAATTGTGCAAGTTTCCTTAAATAAAAAATAGTCAACAAAATTAAGATATAAATCTTAATGTTCGAGAAGCATGAATATCTTTAATTCTAACGCCGAAGCTCATCTAATCTCCACTTATGGATCTAAAAAAGTTACTTCTGCAAAAATTGTTACTAACAATAGTACAGCTCCAATGCTAACAATTACCATAAATACAACACTAAACTCAACTACTACTCTCGATCCCAATCCCACGACGGCCGGTTCTATGCACCGGATTGACTCGGAGGAATCAACTTCCGACCAAGGGCTGTCAACCCAGCAAATACTACGTGTATTTTTTCAACATGGGAGCATCATTACCCGGAATGCTTGCTCCGGATTCTTTTGGTCCGTGCCGGGATTGAGACAAACCCCGGACCATGGTTCTGCTCAGTTTGTCACAACAGCATCCACCACAGATCTATCTCGGTGAGATGCAACGGATGCAGAGAATGGGTACATTTCAGGAGTTGTTCCGGCCTTAGCCGGATACAGGAGTATAGCGAAAGGGACTACGTTGCTTCTTGCTGCGCCAATGCAGTCCCCAGCGAGTCGTCGTCGTCACCATGGTCCACGTCATCATCGTCGTCGTCTTCGGATTACGTGACTCCCCCGCAATCTCCGCAGCAGCAACCTGCGCCGCAGCCGCTAACACCGCACATTGCTGTCGCAACTCCTGATAATGTATCCTTTCTTCAATTCAACTGCGATGGACTTCGAGGGAAAATCAACGAGATAGTGGATTTTATGAGTCGGAGAAGTATTATGGTCGCTGCGATCCAAGAAACGAAGCTGAACAACACCTGTAGTCTTCAGAGTTGTGATGGATACAACGTTATTAGAAAGGATCGTACAAGAGGTGGAGGTGGAGGATTAGCATTCATATTGCATCATTCTGTCCAGTACAGACCTATCTCGCTTGAGCTAGACTCTAGTGACCCATACATGGAATGTATGGGGGTAGCGGTCAAATATGGTACCGCCGAGGTAGAGGTGCTTAACGTTTACATTCCGCCGTTAAATAGCTGTGCCCCGCGTTATTTGCCCGACATTAGTCATCTTTTGGAAGGCAATAACCGTCTGGTGCTAGGGGATTTCAATGCACATCATGAGTTATGGCATTTCGTCCTAGGTAATGACCAGAGGGGCATGGCGCTGGCCGAGCAAATTGATAGCTCAACGTTTTGCACGGTGAACGAGGACATACCCACCAGAATGAGGGGAGACTGCCAAAGCTCACCGGACATATCCATCGTGTCTCCGGGTCTGACGAATGACGTGGCTTGGCAACCCGTCATATCATTGGGGTCAGATCACCTCCCTATCACCATATCCATCAACAGACCACCCGATTTCATAACTTCTGAACGCCGTACTTTCCTTAATCATGGGAAAGCCAATTGGCAAGAGTTCAGAAATTTCACCAATCGTCGCTTCAGAGAACTGCCCATCCCTTCTGACGCTCGGGTAGCAGAAAGGAATTTCCGGGACATCATCACTGCTGCAGCCGCTCGCTATATACCTGCGGGTCGTATACCCGAACTAAGACCGAACTTCCCAGCAGAGGCAGCGGGACTAGCGAATGAGCGTGATGAGCTTCGCCGTTCTAACCCTACTAACCCCAGAGTCAGAGAACTGACGTTGGAAGTGAACAGGTTAGTCGGCGAGCATAAGCGGAAAAAGTGGCTAGAGCATCTGAAGTGTTGCAACATCAGTACCGGAGTGAGTAAATTGTGGGCAACGGTTAAGTCGCTCTCGAACCCTGGAAAGAAGGAGGATCGGACTTCTGTCTCGTTTAACGGCGTTGAGGTGACAGATCCGAAGAGGTGCGCGTGTTATTTCAACCGGCAGTTTATAGAGCACCCCGAGAGTGACTGAGCGAAGAGAAGAGTGTTGCGCCGTATACGCTCTCTTCAGGTGGAGGAGGAACCACCACAATTTACGTTGGAGGATGTTGCAAATGTCATCAGGAACGCGAAATCATCCAAAGCGCTTGGTCCAGATGGAATCTCAATGGTGATGTTGAAGCAGCTTGACGAGCCAGGAGTAGATTATCTCACCAAAGCCCTCAACTTGTCGTTATCCACCCTAGTAGTTCCCGATGCCTGGAAAATGGGCAGGTTGGTCCCGCTACTGAAGCCGGACAAGGATGCCAGCAAAGGTGAGTCATACAGGCCGAGCTCACTTTTGTC